GGCCCATTGATCCAGCCTGTCCAGGTCCCTCTGCAGAGCCTTCCTACCCTCGAGCAGATCAACACTCCCGCCCAACTTGGTGTCGTCTTAAAGGGGGCTTATAAAAAAGATGGCGGCAGACTTTTTAGCAGGGCCTGTTGCAACAGGACAAGGGGGAATGGCTTTAAACTAAAGGGAGGTAGATTTAGACTAGATATAAGGAAGAAATTTTTTACGCTGAGAGTGGTGAAACACTGGTGCAGGTTGCCCAGAGAGGAGGCGAATGCCCCATCCCTGGAAACATTCCAGGTCAGGTTGGACAGGGCTGTGAGCAACCTGCTCTAGTTGAAGATGTCCCTGCCCACGGCAGGGGGGTTGGACTAGATGACCTTTAGAGGTCCCTTCCAACTCAAACTATTCTATGATTCTATGTGTATTCATCACCCTCCATTCACTTCTCTATTCCTCTCCTCGCAATTAAAGGTAGCCGAGGTGTTTGCATGTCCTTTCTGCCCTCAGCTATTTTCTTGGTCCCTTACTTCATCTTCCTTCCAAACCACTTTCATTTCCTTCGTTGACCAACAATCTCAGTTTGGGGGCAAGAGAACAGTAGGAACAACCAAATAACCAAGCAACAACCTCGCATCATTTCCTCATCCCCCTCCCATGGACGGTTGCTGTAGTTCTGCTTTTGTACCGAGAGCCTTTTCAATCACGAACTGTAATTTGTTCCCTCGAGTTTCAATGTTACTGTTCTTATAATACCAAAAGTATATTTCTCTTTAATGTATACATGCTGCAAACCATAGAGGAAGTCATTGAAAGAAATACTGGAAAGTCCCTGAAAAATACTTTTAATACTTCCTTAGAAGAATAGAGAATACAAACACTGGTTTGCTGGCCTCCACTTCTCTGCCTGTGCTGAATATTGACTAATATAAACATCCTGGTTATGTATCAGGTGACAGATGCCTTATCCATGCTTTACTTGCTTTTGTCAATGGATTGCATCCCATTCTGGAAATGACTGCATTTCTTATGTTGTTATCACATACCATGGGAAAATCCCAGGAAAATTACACATAGCGCTGGCTTGATATTGCAGACTTATTCCAAGCGTTGCATTTATTCTTTTTTATAACAGGCTATTATGAGCGACTCCACAGGAAATGGATCCTTTGGAAATTATACAGACTGCCACGGAAACTTCTGGGTCAGCAAACAGGCATTTTGTTTCTGTGTGCAAAAGTGAAACAAGAATTTTGCCACCTATAAAAATAAGCCTGAGATCTCTGTTGTTGAAAACCATCGTGAAAATTTATTTTCAATATTACCTGCAGTTAATTATTTTTAGTAATAACTATTAGTGCCAGTCAGTGCACAGATGACTTCACAATTTCTGTGGATTTCTAGAGAGGAAGATGCTATGCATGGAAGAATCTGGAAGGTAGGCTGAGAATTTAAGCGCAATTCAGAAATTACAAAAGGAATAAGCTGTTTTCCTTTAGTCAGATCTAATGCTTAGCAAGAGTTCAAGTGCACACTCTGTACTATTACAGCTGCGTATCTATCTACAGCACTTACAATGCACTTTCTTCAAACCCATCGTACTTTTGGCCTGCTCAGCATCTTGTCACAATGACTTCTACCGTTTAATCACACGCTATAGAAGTACATACATCTGGTTGCTGTCAACATGACACGTTGAAAGCAATACGATGTTCTCATATTTTCTCTTTTTTGTCCCGTAATTCCTTTCTAAATGCTTCCTAAAACCCTAGACGCCTTTTTGACTGCCATAAGACATTGTACACAGTTCTATAAAACCATCAAACCTGTGACACCCAGATCTATTTCCTCAGTGACAATAGCCAATTTACAATTCCTTCTGCTTATATACAGTTAGGTTATAGGCATAACTAGGCTCACTGATACTAAGTTTCATCTGCCCTTTCATGAAACAGGGAGCATTGTGACATCTTTCTACAACTTTCTGCAGCCAGATTTCAACATAGCTATGCTCAAAAATTTTGCATCATTAACAAATATCATTTATTTTAAACAATTATCAACCTCTGACAGGTCCAACTATGTTATTCCATGAAAAGTTAAAATTCATGAGGAACATGATCACATTTTTTGGAAAAAAAAGTTGTACTGGGTTGACCAGATCCCACTTGCCTGTATGTCCACCGACTCAACCAATGACTCTAGAGGGTACGTGAAGTAAGACTTTTCCCTCCAAAGGGCGCACTGGCAACTCCAGTATCAGTCTATCAATTTCTCCTATTCCTTACTGCAAGATAGGCAAACTGGGGAAA